AGGATTATTCTAGGTACTCAGTTCGATAGATTGACCTTAACCTTTATAAGCGACAGCTCATCCAACATCTCCACTATAAATTTGATTATTCCATCGTATTAGTTCCTAATGTTCAGGAATTCCCCTAAATTCTTCTTATTATGCGAACAAAATATAAAGTAGTCATCCATCTATGCCTAGGTCTGTCTGACAACACGACCCAGTTGCAAAAACAAGGTTAAACAAACTCTGCTATTATTTATAGAATAAAGCGGAAATGATGTTGAGGTTTTGAAATCGATTATAAGCTGTTTTTATAACAATCTCAAAACAAAATGACATCTTACATATTCATGACCAATTAAATAAGAAATCTTTGGAAATCAATCATGAAAAGGCATAGGCATAAAGATTAAGCCATCTATATTAATTTAGGATAAAACTTTAGCAAAATATAGTACATTTTATCCTGCCTAGTAACTCAAGCACTACTATTTTACTATTTGAAGAATAACTAATAAATTAAGAATGGATCCCTTTAAATTGTGGTTAATTAAAATGAATATTTATAACTAGTAATTGGAATGAATGGTGAAAGCTACCTTTCATCACCACCACCGGCCCCACCTCGCCCTGGTCGACCCTCTAGGCTAATCTTGTCATTGAACCCAAATTTGCACTCTGGCATCCCGCTCAAAAATGATTTCATTACAACTTTTCCAGCAACATGGGCTGATAATACCTGACCTAAAGAAGAATATACACAGTAAAACAGCAACAAACAAGTCTCAACATTAATAATCCGAAACACCCACCCTGGGGAGACATAAGCAGATTGACCGATTCGAGAATATCAAGAAAGAGTTCATTTTTGCGATATTTAATGCCTTCTCGCCTCCAACCTATTTGACCTGTTACTTGGTTAGTTATCTGAGTTGTCTCCTCTTTGGTGGCGGTTCTAATTCCGGCCTGGGTTATAAGCGTCTTAAGGATACCAGTATCAGTATTCTGAGGGTAACCAAAATCGATTATTTCTGTAGAAGTAAATCTAAAATAAATTACCATCTAGCAGCTCGTATATTAGTACGAAATTGTTTTTTATGTTATCTTCAGTTACCCTCCCAAAATACTGCTTCATTACACCAACAAAAGCATGAAGAAGCTGAAATACTAATGCCGCGTTAACATTACGTCTTGCAACTGCACAGACCCATATATTGGCTCTTTTAACATGAAAAAAATTCGTCCGAGCAATGCTTGTCACAGGTGAACGCACCTGTCGGGTTAAGTAATTATAGAAGCCAAACCTGCTGGCGTGCGTGAATAACATGAACTCTAAAGGCATCCGCAGCGTTTCGAGATACATCATCTCTAAATATGCGTGATATGAGCACTTCGCCCTTGTGATTATATATAAAAATTCCGCTGATCATCCTAAGAGAAGCATATAGAGCTAACTATGATGACTAGGGGACTACAACTGAAAGGCCCCCCAAAACACCGGATTAATGAATGCATCTTAACTAAATTAACAAAAATGCACTATTTTAAATAAAGTATTAAATGTTTTAATTATCTTAATAAAGCGCGGGTAATTTTGTTGAATTATTGGCGCCGGTTTCTTTTGCCGCAGCCGTCCCCTCGCCCAAGATTTCTAATGCCCTCTTCTGACACCACTAGGTCGTCAAGATCTAGTTACAAGGCTTCTTACCAGGAACTAAGAGCAAGAAATAATGTTGCTGTTAAGAAATCCAGGGAAAAGGCTCGCGCGAAACAAACTGATCTATTCAACAGGCAGGTTTAGCATTATGATATACCATTATGTACCCTGGGTTACTACACATTAAGCATAGGCCAAACGATGAATTTATGGCTTAAAAAATTATCTGCAATCCTTTGTGATTGAGCTTTATAATCCGCTTTCAACTCTTTTTATTATCGATACATTTGTCTCGCACGATATTTTACTCATTTTATTTCGCTTTGCATTTTTTCCTTTTGGCCTTACCAGTATATGAGAAATTTGGAACATTTTACTTACTTTTAATTCTATTTCTTTATCATGCATATTTTTCATTATATTTCTTACTGTACATATGCTATTTGCCTTCGAATCTTTGTTCTGTCTCACAACGTGTTTTGACTCAATCATTAAATCTATATTTACCTATTTCCTTATGGGATATAACATACCGAACATTTTAAACTAGTCGATGTGTATTGAAATTTCAGAATTGATGAATTACGTGAGGAGAATAGTTGTCTACGCGACAAGATGCGCTCTCGAATTCGAGAATTGCGTCTTCTCAATCGTTTGCTTCAGCGAGTCAACGTGCCAGCTCCTGCTCGACTTGTGAGAGCTTTGAATTCATTGGTACGCAACGGCAATTATCTCCAACTTGCGACTACTTCCACTAGTTCATTTGATTTACCTGACTCGACGTGTCCTGCGAGTGTGCCGCAGATTAGTGACCGGGTTGCAAGGTCCTTATTTTCGGAAACCCTTTCCAATGTTCCATCCATTACTAACCAGCCTGACTCATATCTAGACCCATTTCCGGAGGTCCTGGAGCACGTTGTTCACATAGAATCAGAGCCCAATCACCTTGCTAGCCGACCCATTCAGTATATTGGTCAACCTCTAAATAAAACAACCCAGCAAAACCGAGAAACAAGGCATACCACTAGGGCTGTGGCTAACCGGAAACTTGATTTCTCAACAGAAGCAGCATTGGTCAGCTCTTCTAGAACAGCTAGTTCTTCCTCTCGCTCCTCCCGTTCTCGTCCATTTATAGGTACACATGCTCCGGACTCCTTGGCTTCGACTTCCTCATCTAAGGAAACCAACCAGCCAAATTTCTCGATGCATTCTCATTCCCTCCATACACTTACCCTCTCCGACTCATTCTCGCCAAATTGTTCACATACCACCACTAAGAACCACGTGCCTCGACAGCCTCAGGAGAAATCCTTTGGCTTAGGCGCCCGCAAGTTGTACGTGGCTCTAACTGCTTGTTCTAACCCAACTTCTCTGCTCAATCCTCAATTGGTCAAGGCATCGGCATCTCCCTCTTCACCTCTTCCTACGGGCTGAATCTCATTGCCTTATAGAACGGTTTAGCTACCAGCTGGTATATTGTCGCATCGGCCCGATGTTCTTTCTGTATCTAGCTTAAATATCTATTGATGTTTTAATTTGGGGTCTTTCAAACAACCTTTATTTGTGATATGAATGCTTATGCTCCTATTTATTAATTTGTGTCGATATCATCATAAAGCGCCAGCCATTGAACTTATGCTATATGATTTAATCATTGTGAGCTTTTTGAGATTCATTTATATCAAGTTCTCGTCTATTTTTTCTCTTACGATTTACTTGCTTCCTATATTGTGAACATTTTTATATTTTATTGCTAATTTTTAAAGCATGTCCAAATTTCAAATCTTTATCTTGTGACTTTCTCATAAACGATGGCAGTATCTCCCGGTAGCCAGCTACCGAAGCACTTTAGCTTTCCTATCGTATTATAGTAGGAGTTTTACAATTATTTAGTGAAGCCGATGGTTTTAGTAGTCTTG